AAATATTAATGTTGATTTTAAAGCTAGTGGGAATCTGTTAAGACCCATGTAAAATGTTGCAAATGAGGGGTTTTAGTATTAAGAAGAATTTGCCAAAATTTTCCAGTTAATTTAGTTATATTTTAGGTATATTCTTAAGTCAGTTCCATCACAACAATGCACCCAGAATAACAATAAATGTCCATTTATAGGACAAAGTCAAGTATTCTCTTTAGCCTACAGGAGCTCAAAAGCAGAAGAGATTTATATAAGTACTGTAAAATGAATAAAGTGAGAGCAAACAGACTTAAGCAAAATACTCAGGAGTTCCACATGCCACTGTATTGCCAACCTTTTCCAATAATGTTTCTCGCCACCTGCAATGAATTTGGGAGATACCAACATTCTCAGAGAATGTGAAGGAACAAGATAATACAAGCCGAGGTGCTGCCCCTCAGGTTGCAAGGCTGGCTCATTCATAAATAGCTTCCCTTCTGTTAAGGTAGTTCTAGTGCAAAGCAGCATTCTAACCCTGGGGAGTCCTGCCACAGGCATTCTAAGAGGGAATGAAGATTTCTTTTCCAAATTAAGTTGTCAAGGAGCTCATTTACACTACACAGTGAGTGTATGTGGGCCAGCTGATGAAGATGATGATTTATGAGGCCACAGACCCTGATTCTGGTGATGGAAATCCACAGCAAAATCCACTTAGGAAAATAAAGCAGAGCTCCTGTTATCTGTGGGAGGTAAAAATCATGTGGCTTCTGCCCTTAAATTTCAAGTAACCCTACTGGGTTTGGGAATGGAAGGAAAGCTCATTTACTTAGAATTCGGGTTTTGGTATAATGTTATTATACAGGCTCACACACATGCCATTTGTTAAACAGTTTATATTCATTGAATCTATCTTAAATGATTTTGACAAGGCTTTTTTTTTGTGGGGGCAGTATTTGTTTATTTTGAAGGTATGGGTGAGGATTGGATCTGAACAAATAGATCATGGATTGCTATGTCACATTAACATTTAAAACATCTAAATATGGGCAAATTGTAGTGCTCTACCTGCACAAGCAGGAAATATAGTATTTTGGTGAAATATATCTGCAAAAATGTTTTAAAAGGCTGGGAAAATATGTAAACAGACTTGTTTAATGAATGTGGCCACCATCAGTTACATTCTTCAGAGCATCAGTTAAAAAAAACTTTTAAGCTCGAAAACTGTTAAATGATAAAACCGAGTTTCCAAAATGGAAACTGTATTTTAACTTATTTCCTTTTATTTGCTGTGCTTCCTCCTTAAATGCCAAGAAAATCAATTTTAAGAGTCTTGTAAGAATTTATAGGCTTTGATCTTAAAATGTAAAATATGTTTGCAATATCCCATTTTAGTATCAAAGTGTGAGTCCCAGTGACAATTAAACAGCTACATAAACAAGGCAAAGAGCAAAAAGTCATTGTAGTTCTATGGTTAAGGTAGTTTTATGTTTTGTACATGTGTTTTTTACAGATGACTCAGTAAAACCTATAGAGCGATTCGATGTAACTGCCTCTGTGAATTCCATCAAGTGTTGGCGCTGTCTTAAATGTAACAGAACATTTTATTCATGTGCATCTATGCATTAGGTTATTATATACGTCCTAGGCTGTAGAAAATATAGACACTATTTACTCACAGCTGCATTATCTTATGTCATGTTTATTTCCTTGTAAAAGATTGCAAAATTATGGAGACATACATTGATGGGACACCCTGCTCCTTCTGATATAGGTGGTGTATTGGAGCAACCCATAAACAGTGATAAACAGTGATTTATCAACTTTTCCTCTCACATATTTCTAGAGTCCAGGAGAATGTGGCCAATCTATGTATTTTATTTTATGTCTCTATGATAAAAACCACATGTTCAGGTGTTTGCAGGCAAACAATATATATGGAATAGTTACTATGTATGTGACTTGATATCAATCAGTTCCCTTGATAAGATATCAAGGAAATAGTACAAATATTACAAATAAATGTAAGGATACAGCAGAGTTTTCAGTTTGTTTTGTATAACTTTTTAACTTTTCTGATGCTTGATATAATTAGATTTAGCTTAAACATTTTTTTTTCCAAACAAGTAAATATGTAATCTATACAGGGTTCCATGAGTTTTCAGGCCAATATTCAATAGGCTTTTATAGCTTTTGCTCTTAGCAGTCATAATAAGCACAATTTTTAAAATGTAAATGATTTCATTATACATGAGCATATAAATGAAAAATATTAGGATGCAAAAAGCAAACAAACAAAAAACCCTCAGCAGTTACAATGGTAAACACAGTTTCTCAGGACCTAGATAGTTGAATCATCAGGGATGTATTTCAAATTAGAATATATTTTAAGTTAAAAAATTGTTATTTTTTTAAAAAAAGCATTTATAGTTAGTAGGGTTAACCTTTACCAACTAGACCAACTTACTATCATAACACAAAAAAAAAATTGATAACTCACTATTTACCTGTGCTAAAAATGTTATAGCTGTATATTTTTATAAAATATTGGCATTACTTACTAGAACAGAAAGGTGGGCTTGGGCCACAAACGATAGTCAAATAGCATAACTGAGTTCATGTGAAAAATGTATAGATTTGCATATGTTCCTATTACCATTCATAAAAATCAGGTGATACTTAAATAGAACAACACAGTGTTACCACACTCTTTGAGAAAATGGAAATTCACATAAAAATGTCCTCCTGTCAGATATTTTAAATATTTTTCATTAACTGCATGTTGAAAAGTCTGACTTTCCAGAAACACCCTCCACACCATTGGCACTGCCTGTCATCAAGGTGCCTGACAGTCCTCAGGTCTCAGTGTGGCCCTGGTGAGCTGTGGGGAGGGGGGTCACAGGGGTCATGGTCCTCGTGCAAAAGGTGGGGAAACTGAGGCTCAGAGATGGGGCTGCTCAAATTGGGCGGCAAATGTCACGCCTGCCTCTTTTTTCTAATTGAAGGAAAATCAATTTCAAAGTTTGCTCTGACCTATATATTTTTGTAGACCAACACAGGAGCTTCATCACAGGACCCGGGCAGACGTGACAGTGAGTTATAACAACTGCAGAAACACCAGTGTCACCACTTCTTCCTAATGTAGTCTTTGGCATCAGCTCAAAAAAAAAAAAAAAGAGTGTAATAAACAGAATGAAGCATTTTACCTAACAAAATAAACTCCTGAAATATACTTATTTTTAGATCAGTCAATTTAATAACTTATTTATTAGACAGTATAGCCAAATGACAGCCTCTATGTAATAAAGTTGTAAATACAAAGAAATGCGTGTATTCCATATTTGTAAGCAATAAAAATAACAAGTACTCATATATCTTTCACTCTCAAGTGCTGTATTATCTTCGAATGAGGTTTGCTGTTTGTTTTAAATTGAACAGAAGGTTAAGGAAATGAGAGAAAGAGGACTAAATAACTAAGGGCAATAAAATACAGAGAAAACATTAGCCAGCATCCTGCTGTTTATGTTATGAGCATTCATAAACAATGCTTTCGCTCAGAAGTATCTCTACTGACCACAGAGCCAAAACACACCAAGTGTTTCCTGATATTTCCCCCATCTTCACAAAATGTAACAGCATTTTAATTCAAGTTAAATTTATTCTGCACCCTATCATGCTCTTCACGTAAGGCCAGTGAAACTCAGACCCTTACTCAAACTACAGTTTTTCATTTATATAGTCCCCACTGCATCTCTTTTTGGGAAATGAAAGCCAATGCCGTTCCAATCTCTCACATGCCTTAGAAACAACTGACTCTCTCCTCTAATGTCCGTTTCTTTTAATCACTGGTCTCTGATTGGAACAGGGACCACATCAATGATTACATGTGGCAAAAGCAGACTGCCTATCCACAACACCTTTTGAATGCTGTCTTTTTAATGTATCTCTTCCAAAATTGTCCTGTGTGAAAGATATTATGTACTAATTAAAATGTATTTTATGTGTAAATTCCATAAAAAACCCATTACTAGATCAGTGTGTGTGTGTGTGTGTGTGTGTGTCTGTGTGTTTAAACAGGCAGGGTATGGATTTACCTTTGGCAAGTCCCAGACCCTTGGCTGATACTTACACACAATTTGGGAGTTGGGAGACAATGGGAAGGGAGAAGAGCAAGCCAGACATCAAACCCATTTATTCTGAATCTTAAATTATGACTTCTTTATCATCAATATTTTGGTTACATTGTTACACAAAGGACAAATTAACATCCGGTTTGAGGTCTCTTCTTTGACTGCTTTGGGATTAGTGACATCTCCTTGGCATAGGAATTCTGTACTCATCAACGCTCAGCTGGATTTTAATAATATTGTTGTACAAGGTGCCAAAACAGGAAGGATTTGAGAAACCGCTCCTAGGGTGCCTCTGCCAATAGCTTTAACCACTGGGACTCCAGCCTGGCTTCCTGCCAGTGCACGCACGCAGGGGAGTGTCCGCACCCCTCTTTCCAGGGCAGATCAGAAGGGGATCCCTGGAGAGTGGCTGGTCTGCTGCCTTTGAAGCACCTGGTCCCAGGTGTGCTCATGCAGAGTGAATCCCAGTAAGTGAAACATGCTGCTGCAAAGACCCAGGCCACTCCGCAGAGAAGCCATATACTCGGGAGACTCGGTCACACAGCACCTGCTCTCATCTTACATGATCCAGGCCACCCAGGAACGCCAGGTTCTTAAAGTACTCCGAAGCGTTAAAAAAAATATCCTGGTTGTTCATTCTCATGGTGCATCTGAGAGAATCTCTTTAAAAGAATCCAAGGAATTGTCCATTTGTCATTTTCACTTTGATATACAGGTACCTTTTGTTTGGTTGGGTCTCATCCAGGAATTCAACATACATTTCTCTCCTTCAGCCCAACATGATGAATAAAAGCAGGGGTGAGGAGGGAGAGCCGAGCGTAGAAAGCAAAGTAAAGCTTTTCGAGGACACACACACACACACACACACACATACACACACACACAGTACAGAACAAAAGTCCAGTCCGATCGTGCAAAACTCGCATTTCCAGATAAAGCACTTCCGACAGGATCACAATGCCCCTTCCCCTCCCCAGTCCTCCCATTCTCCCAGGGAAACACACAGAATGAAAGCCAAGCCATCCTTTTTCTTAAGGCTGAACAGACACACAGAGAACACATTTCACGACTGGCCAGTGGGCAGTGACCTGCAGGGCTCTTGCTTTGAGTGCAGCCAGCCCCCTGCAATCCATCCTGAGGTCTGGGCACTCCTCACTCCAGACAACAATACAGCGTCCATACAAAAGAAGAAATCGCAGTGGTCCCAACAGTAAAATCCCAGATCGACGTTACAATCACAGGTACAAATTGCTCAGGTCCATAGTGTCATTTCTCCTGAAGACCTTATCGTCTAAAACTAATTAGAGGCCAGGTTCCCGAGGAATGGTCAATAGTCAAAGAAAAAACTGGAGATTTGGAAGGAAATCATTCTTCTACCTCGACAGCCAGACGGAGCTTGGAAACAAGTTGTCCTGTTCTGCCAAGTTCAGGGGGTTAGGGAGGGGGGATTCCTGGGTCCAGATTACAACTTCCCCGCCACCCCAGGCTCGGCGTTTATAGGGGAAACACCAAAAAGCCAGAGAAGGTGGAGTACTTCCAGCCTCCCATGAGGTTGCCCCGCTCCAGTTTGAGGTGCACCTTGTCCTCCCTCTCCATCAGCAGCAGGACCCCATTGCTGGCTGCTTCTCTGGTCACGTCCTGGTCTCCTGCGAATGCTGAGATCACTGGATAGCCGTTCTGCATTAAACTGACCTACAATGCAGAGGGTAGAGCTCAGCAGGCCATGCAGGGTCCACTGTTCTCACACACTTGTCCTCTCCTTCCCCCAGCCCTTCCCCCACCCTTTCCATGGAGCCCTACTTCCCCAGGGACCTGACCCAGAGGACTCAGCTGGCTCCCAGCCCCACCCCCTGCTTCACAGAAGGGCTGATAGGGTCTGCAGTAATGGGGAATGGTAACCCAAAGTTCAAAGGGTCCCATTTCCAAAGCTACCCACCTGGATGGTCTGTCTGTTGTACACTTTGACCACGTGGAAGCTGAAGCTATAAATCCCTTTTCTCGGAGCTACAAATATACTGGAGGCAAGATCGAAATGGTTGCCAATATTTACTAACACCTGAAAAAGAAGAGGAACACACAGAGACATAGCAAGCCCCTCCTTGGCACACAGGTTGAGCAGACTGGCACAGCAGTGACCCAGGTCCACTAGAGCTGCTCAGGCTGCCCACCCATGGGGAGGCACTGCTGGAGTTAAAATATCCCACAGTGGGAAGTGATTTCAAAGGTATTTCAAGGGATAGCGATTCATAAAGATGTTTTAATTTATATTCATTTATGCGTTGAAAAAGTGGGTGCTAATTTTGTGCATTGGGGGCAGAACAGAGAGAAAGGAAGGAAGGCAATGAGGTCAGTAAACAACCGGATGTTAAGTCTGTTCTGAGGCTTGTGGAATGATGGAACTTCAGCATGGAGCTTTGACAAAAATTACTGGACCACACTGAGTGGGTAGAGAACCGGCTATGGGGCAAGAAGCCAATTAAGTGAGATCAGTTCCCTCAGATGAAGCTTCCCACCTAACTTCCTGTATGTGCTCCAGGGCAGAACAGACTGTGTCAGGTCCTGGTCTCTGTTCCTGCAGCCCCGGCACATGCCCTGGCAGCACACAGTAGGTGCTCAATAATGGCTGCTGAGTGCAAGATCTCAGTCCATAAACACCTATGGTGCCTGCTTCCCTCATTTTCCTCTGAGAGATGATTGCTTCCTTGGATGAGCTATGACATCATGCAATGTGCTTGAATAAATAGCTGGAGAGTCCACACAGCAGCTTGGACACCCTTGGCTCAATCCTGGGAATTCCATCAGGCGCAAGAATAATGACTAATCCAGCCATGGGATACGAGCTCACTTGGCCCTGCAAGTGGGTTTCCTCAGATCAGAGGGAATGGGAGCATGACATCATAAGTAGAACTTGAAGACAAGAGGGCCCCCCATCACAACCCAAATCTTTATTAGAAGCTGAAGACAGAATTTGGCCACTCTGCCTGAATCCCGTCCCCACTCCTACTCACACACAAATGCACAACTCAATTAAGATACTAGAATGGCTTGCCTGGTGTTCTCAGCTTCTAAGACAAACATCCAGCAACAACAACACAGGCCTGGATGAAAGAGCCTGTCATCTGTTCAGAAAATAAATGTCAACTGAATACGTTTTGCGGTGATTTCTTAGGCACTCATTATAGATGAATAACAAGCAATTCCCAGAGCCATGTCAACTGCTGCTCAACCACAGCTGCAGGATGGTTCGGAAGGCAGCCCGCGCCGGAGCTGGGGGCACCACCTCCGCCCCCCTAGTCTGTGGGGTTCATATAGACATGAGGGCTCTATGCTTAGGGGTGGTGTGCCCTCCTGTTCTGTGCCTCCCCAGGGCTATGCTCTCAGTGGGTAGAATGATGTTTTCACGAAGAATAAAGCATTCTCCACTCAAGCTCTTGGAGCTGCTTCTTCCAACTCTTTACCTCAACTCTTTCACCTCAATTTTAAATTCAGGAAACTGGAAGATTCGGAGCCCTGCTGTAGAGGAAAGATCTCCCAACCAGCTCAGAAAATCAGGCTGTTTCTCCCTAACCAGGAACCAGTGGCGCACCATCCAGCCTGCCCTGCCACAGGTTCCTCATCCATAAAATGAGAACCCTGCTGCCCCTTACCCTGTCCACATCACCGTTTTCTTGACCCAAATGAATGATGGACGTAAAAAGGTGGTGAAACTATTTGTAGGACATGGGAAGGTAAATTATAGTAACTCATAACGGAGGACTTATTAATCCAGTAAATAGTTACCTATTTCTTATTGTCTCCTTTCTTTGAACATAAATATTGTTATGTCTTATAAATAAAAACAGATTAAAGGCAGACTCCCTCCCATCACCACCCCCAAATCCCACAAAACTTCATGAATGTACAGACTCCCTAACAACAAGGAAAACAAATGAACACACTGGCCTAAAATGAGTCAAGGGTGTGTGTGCAGGTTTATCGATACTCAGGAGTGAGAGTGGGTTTATGCAGAGGGGAGGTCTCAGTGTGGACAGCTGAAGAGGGTTCCATTTGTGGAAGGCTTAGGTTCCTAAGGAATGGACTGATGCGTTCAAGTTTGGAAAGCACTATTATGTTTCAATTTGTTTCTGAAAAACAACAGAACCAAGGGGGGAGGGATCCAAGAGGAAGGTCATGACCCTAATCCTGAGCAGCCACACCAGAGAGGGGGTTGCCAAGGTAGGATCTATTCACAACCCTTTGGCTCTGGCCCCAGTGGGAAAAGTTAAGTGGATTAGGGCAACAGAAGTCATCGATCCTTTTTTTATTATTATTATTCCCATAACCACACTGCATATTGATATCGTGATATATTGTATTTGTAGATTGTCTTATATATTGTTTTCACTACACATTGCAATTATATAAGAAGCTATTTCGTTTTGTATTTATATAACCATCCTGCTATTTCCCTCACACACTCGCTCACTTATTTTTCTTGAAGATAAATATCCTCTTCCCAGTCCTTTCCAAAATAAGCAATAGGCACCTCTTTTCTGAGCGTCTGGGCCTCCTGAGGACCCTCCTTGAGCGTGGAGAGTTTAAAATGCTCAGTCTCTGTGTTGGCCACATGGGTGAGGAAGGCCCATCTACCACAAATGACAGCCCCCACCCGGGCAAAAAGTAAACCATGCAGTTCCCTTTTGGGAAATAGCTTTCTGATCTCTTAGCTTGATGGGCTTCTCAGTCACCAAAGTGCCACCTGAGTGGACAGGTACAAGGAAGCTATAACGCGATAAGGAGGGAATGTCAAGGAGAGCACACTAGAAAGAGGAGAGAGAAGGGAGAGGCGCAGGGCAGGACAGGGCAGAGGAGGGAAGAACCTGGAACTGCAGGTCCCTGACGCGGGAAGCCCCAGCCCCAGCGCCCAGGCTCCCGCCCTGTTCTCCTGGGCAAGAGGCACCGTGCGCAAACCGGCCAGCTGACCTGGTCGAAGTAGATGGTCATGGTGCGGTTGCTCATCTCCGACGGCTCGTGGTTGGTGCTCCGAGTGGCGGAGAAGGCCACTTTGGCGCTGCCAGAGCGCACGGAGATGCCAAGGGAGGAGGTGACAGCACCGTCCGCTGATGGGCTGGAGTCGCACACCACCAGGCACTTGCCCTCCAGCACGATGGGCTCCGTGTCGTTCTGCGCCCGCACCGGGCAGCCGGCGGGCAGCAGCAGCAGCAGCAGGGCCAGCGCCGCCCCGAGGCAGGAGCCGCAGCCCGTCGGCTCGCGCAGCGCCCCCCGGAGCCCGGGCATGGTCAGCGGCGGCCTGCGGGGGCCCTGGCCAGGCGCCGGCATCCGGGCTGGGGGGGGCGGCGCGCTTGGGACAGCGGCAGAGGCGGGAGGAGCGCGGGCGGTCGAGCAACGTGCGGGGCCAGGGATAGCCTCCTCTGGCCTGGGTCCCCTGCTCTGATGGTTAAGGCCAGGATCGTCCTCACAAGAAAAGCGCCAGCGGACCTGTCAGGGCAAAGAACCCACACCCTTAGACTGGGAGGTGAAGCAGTTCGGGAGGGGGCATGGGGAGCAGGTGCCTGAGGCGCTTGGGCCCCTCACTGGAGGCCACCCTCTTGCTCCCGCGCACAGCCGCCCCCCTCCCGCACAACAGGTCCCGAGAAACGCACGGCGCCCTGGGCAGGGCATCCCTGAAGGCTCAGGGGGCGCGCGCGCCAGAGGTGCAGTCAGGTCGGGGGCCCGCGATTCTGCAAGATCTCAGCACTAAGACAGGATCGGGCCCCCTCGGGGACTCCGTCAGCGCCACCCCACAGCCCCTTCTAGCCTAAGGCGGAGGGGAGCTCAGGACGTGGCAAAGGAAAATCCATTCATGCTGTATCGCCTTCATTTCAGCGGCATTTTCCTCAACACACTACGAACCCTTTCCCCTTTCTCTGCTTCCCCCTTCATCCTGTCTTTTCCTATCCTCGACATTTTTTTAAAGCAGTCCATCCAAAGACCAAACCTCCAGGAATCCTTGGGATGAATTAGAGAAAAAGAAAAAAGAGACTCTAAAAGCAGACACCCACTTCCACCGCGTCCCCTCAGCCAGCAGCGAGCGCCTTTGGAGAGTCCCTGGGATCCCTCTGGCACAGGCGGGGATGCCGGCGCCCTGAGCCCTGAGCCCTGAGCTGGCCTGATGGTGCAGCTTTTGTTTCCAGACTCCGGGCTCCCGTTTGCTGAGCTGGGAGACGGCCCCGAGACTCTCTGCTAACTTAACCCCTTTCTCCGGCCCCCTCTGCTCCCCCTAAACCAGACAGGTTATTTGCACACCCAGCCCCAAAACAAAAAAGCCAGAAGCCTCTCCCCGCGCCGCCCACGGCCTCTGAACAACTCCTCTAATAGTCTAAGAAGAGAGAAGTTGTTTCTCCATGAGTAGCCTCTGTCCTCAGCCCCAGACAAAATCATGTCCTTCTTCTCGGTCGCTTCTCCCGACGCCCGGACGCAGACTCGCGACGGTCCCAGTTGAAATACACGCATGAAATGCAGTTAACGCGCGGATCGCGGAGCGCAGGGCTGGGTTGGTTACCTGGAACAGCCATGACGAGCGAGCACCGCCGTCAGCCAAGTTCTGCTTAAAGAGGGTGAGCGGAGCTGGCGGGAGGAGACACCGGGCGCAATCCGCTCCCCGCGCCTGGCCAATGCAGCTCCGCCCCGCCCTGCCCCTCTGCCTCGCCGGCCCGCGCCTGCTCCCAGCGCACTGCACGGGTCCAGACCCGCACGCCCCGCGCCCCAAACCGGACAGCACCCCACTCCGCGCCCTGCACCTCTTACGCCCTCGCTTCGCACTGGTGCGCTACGCGCACCGCAACGCACCCGGCCGGCACGCGTTCCGCACCGGGTCTGCACCGCTCCTGCGCCCGCTGCGCGGCTCTCTCCTCCCACCCCAGCCCCACAGCCCCAGCCTTCCCCCGTCTCCAGGCGGCTCAGCCAAACGCCACGAGGTCTCCGAGCACTCAAGGCGCCCTCCGGACTCAGCACTCGCTCCCGCACCCCCGCCGCACCCTCCACCACCTAGATTCGGCTCTCACCCTAACACCCAGAGCGAAATCCTCCCTGACTCCTCTTTCAAAAATTAGGCACCGTCAAAAGCACTGGTCGCACCTCTGATTTTTGATTCTTTCTTTTCTTTTCCAAATTCCCTCCAAATCTTAATCCTGAGCAGGGTGACCACTTTCATAATTGAAAAGGAGTTGAGAGGAGGAAGCAGTTTTATTGAGAGAGAAAAGGGGGGGGGGGGGAGAGAGAGAGAGAGAGAGAGAGAGAGAGAGAGAGAGAGAGAGAGAGAGAGAGAGAACAAACAGAAGAAAAGAATGGAGAGAATGGAGAGGAAAAGGCTTGGGATTTGAATGGTTTAGGGCGGCTGTGGTTCCGGAGTCTCCAGTTTGGGAAATGTCAGGATTTGGCAGGGATTAAGGAGGCGCCTCCGCCGGGGTTTCTGTGCTGCTCCTCGGATCCTCCGGGCTCCCGGAGCGCGTTGGCACTCGTGCTTATTTATTAAAATGCCTGCTCTGAGCTCTAAGGACTTGGGGAGACGCGCGGGGTTTCCGAGCTGCGCCCAGAGCGCGGCGACCGCAAGCACGGACGTGGGGCGCCACCTACGGGCGCTGGGGTCTCCCTGCCGCGGGCTCCGGAGGCGCGGGGGAGCCCCTAGGGACAAGGATGGGGTTTGCTGAGTCCTCTTTAACCCTCAAAAGCACTCCTGGCCTCTGCAAAAATACAAAAATAAATGATCTTTCTTTGCACCCTCGCCCCTGATCTTTGCTCTCACAAACATCTCTGCTAAAATGATAAATGCTGCAGTCAGGTTCTCCCAGCATCATTGTCTGCTGAACCCTGGGCTGTATACTCCATGCCTCCTGTAAACAAAGGCAGTATGTAACTGTGCATTCACTTTTAAAAACATCTTTAAAAAATACTTAATCCTTTGACTTGCACAGTATCTCTTTGCTGATAGGCTGATCAAAATAAATTGGCCAATGCTACACATAAGAACAGAGCAAAAGTATTTCTTATTCCTCCGCACTTAGCACCTAACCCTCTTCCTTATGGAGATTTCAGCCAGGGTTCTGGTTCTACCCTATATGGGTCTTTTCAGGTAGGATGTATTCAAGCCTCATTCCCCACAGACTCTCACAAGACTCTTCTCCCCATTAGAACCCTGGGCCCAGAAGAACTCCAAATCAGTTCAACCTAAATGGATGTGGAAGAAGACAGGGTAAGGTGGAAACAATCCCATTGTATTACCTGAGATCATTATAGTGTAGGATTGTAAAAATCCGATTAAAAGAACTGTCCAGCCAAATGTTTTCTACTTCACGTGCAAAATAGCACAAAATATAAAATAGCCCCCAAATCTATTATCCTCCTAAGATATTTGCTAAAAATCAAGTGTTTTGCTTTAACATTTTTAAAACGTACTGGTCAGATGCACTGGACTTTGCCAGGAAACTTCTCCAAAGCCATTATATTTTGCTACCATTTTTATGAGGTTAACACAATGGAAATTGTTAATTCTTATTTTCAGATAGTTACGTTAGTCCAATATTGCATCAATTTTACAATCTCTTATTGCCACAATAAGCACAGCACTAGCATTCCATCATAGAGAGTTCTGATTTGAATGCAAGCACAAATAACAAAGGACGCTGGGTCTCTGGAGGAAATGTGAGGCACAGACTGAAAATCAGACCAAGTGGGAATGCTAATGAAGTAGCAATACCTCTCACACATCTATACATCTTTAAATAACAGCTCTGTTAAGCAACTGCCTTAAAGGTTGCATTATAAGCATTTCTTCTAACTAATATGAATGCAAACACACATGAACCAAATTATTATCATCACCTTTTGGATAATAAAAGCAAAACTTTTCCAGGTGTCAACAAACATGTTTAAATTCTATAAATAAACTGTTCATCTACATGGTAAACTCAATCACAGAATTAGAGCAGTAAGCATTTTATATGGGAAAAACAGGTTTAGTTTAAATACAGGCTTGAGGCTATTTTTAGAAGGAACTTGATAATTGTGAAAACTAGCAGATTGATAGAGATGGAACATTATTTATCTACTGATGAATTGATTGTTCTATCTCTAAGGAGACATTTAAGTCGTGATAGATTTAAGTCCATAAACATGCTTAGAAAATATTTTAGATTGTCACTAGATTTAAAAGTGAAAATGTTTTCTAGTTATCACAGAGATTACTTTTCTCTGCTCCATTTCCACGTTATTAGTAATTGTTACGATTAGTAGAACAGTAATAGTAGACTCTATTCAGTGTAGGTACATCCCCATAGACAATCACAATGTCAACCATTTATTGAGCATCCATTGCATGTTGGATATTATCTAGGATGTAACACACAGTTTAACACCCACCATCACCCTGCAGCTGACAGATGGTCACATAGAGCTTAAGAGGAAAGTATTCTAATTTTTTTTTAAGTGGGAAAAGGAGGCTGAGATAATTCAAGTTCCCTTCCTTCCATTTGTCCTAAGTATTGATCTCTAATAGAACATAAATATATTTCCCTGGGATAAAACACACCACTGGAATACATCTTCAGTGTGCATGGTAGCCTTTTCTTGCTGTTTTAAACTAATATACCATATTTATGATTTTATTCCAGGTATATGATAAATATGATCTGCTACATATTTTATTCTCTAAGATGTGAACATCATATGTGTACTTTTAAACACAAACATGAAAGCATTAATAAGCAGAGATGATTTTCTTTTAATTTTAACTTTATTGGAAAATACTTGACAAGTATAATTGCATATATTTAAAGTATACATGCATTGTGATGACTGGATAGACATACACAATGTAGAATGATTCCCAAGAGCAAGACAATGAATACATCTATCACCTCACATATTTCACAGTTAACTTTTTTTTTAATTTATGTGGTGAGAATGTTTAAAATTTACTTTCAGCAACTTTTAAGCATACAATACCATCTGACTGACTATAGTCACCATGCGCTACATTAGACCCTAAGTACTTCTTACAACTGAAAATGTGTACCTTTGACCTACATCACCCACGTCCCTCTCACCCCAACCCCTGGCAACCTCCATTCAATTCTGTTTCTATGATATTACCTTTTTGTTTTTTTTAAGATTCCTCATGTAAGTGAGTTTATACAATATCTTTCTTTCTTTGGCTTATTTCACTTAGCACTAGCATCATACCTTTCAGATTCATCCGTTTTGTCACAAATGGCAGGATTTCCTTCTTTTTAATGGCTGAATAGTCGATTGTATATATGTACCACACTTTCTTTATCCAGTCATCTGTTGAGGGACATGTAGGCTGTTTACATACCTTGGCTATTGTAAATAGTGCTGCAATTGACATAGGGGTGTAGATAATTTTGAGATCCTGATTTCATGTCCTTTGGATACAATACCCAGGAGTGGGATTGATTAATCACAAGGTACTTTCATGTTTACTTTAGTAGAAATATAACTTTTTGAAACTATCAGTAACTGTATTTCCAAGGTATATAATACTATTCTAGAGGGTTTGTAAGATGTGGAAAATAATAATTCTAAACATTGCATACCGTTAAGTTATACATGCTAAATTGTTACCTATGCATGCTTATATTTCTCACTATAATAAAAACATATGGAAGTGCATATTAAAATTTTATAATAGCAATAAAGAGAATAAATACTCAATGCTCTTTGGACACTTTACTGAGTTAGCAATATAAGAAAAAAAATCTTTAAAGATTGTAACCAGTTCTAATTCAGTTCAGCAGAAAGAACAGGAAAAGTGTGTCTATATAAGCAACAGGTTTGTAATTGTTGAATGAAATTACTAAGTAATCAAAATAATCTGGTCAAAACAGGTAAACATTTGTGACTAGTTAGTAATAGGATAGCCGAATTTGAGTCAGTCAGACTGTTTGCATTGTGTGGTCATATTACACAAAACAAATGACCTCTGTCACTCACAGAGCATACTGAACTATTTTTAAAGACCATGTACAGTAAAACTTGATATAATGGACTAATTCGGGCATGAGGGAGTCCATTATGGCCAAAAGTCCATTACAGAATGAAGTAGGTTTTCTGAATTCCTATGTTAAAAAAATCGACAAATCACTTAGCTTACCTGTTTTTAGTTACGTAGATACATTTGTATAATTAAAATTAAGTGTTTATGAAAAGTTTAATTTCACAGAAAAGTTTTTATATGTATTACAGTGATTTTAAATTTATACTGACTGGGTCTAGTAAATGCATGCATGCATTCACCACTGTGAGTAAACAAATGCTCAGGGCTGGGGTGTGGCTTAGTGCACATGGGAACATCAGCTGGCACATGTTAAAACTACTGCAGAAAGTCATGCCATTTGACAACAGAACCAATTAACCAGTTATCACTCGTGATGCTTTATGATCACATGCTAATCATTTGCAGAACATTGTTTACCAGTGGTGACTCTTGGATTTAAATATGTAGACTGTAGTTGTACTAGTAGATATGTAATATTTATTTATGTCTGCAAAATTACTACAGTGTTTTTTCTAACATACAGACTATTCACTAAAATTTGTTAAAAATAACAGTGAATTAATAACAAAAAAATAACTTGTTAGTTTAATTATAAGAAAACCTTGGTTGAAAGCATTTTAACATTAACAGGGTGCTAATGTTCACATATAACATATGGACCGAAAATTTTGTCCCTTAAAATTGAGGTCTGAAAAATCGATTATTTACTGTACTAGCTATTTTTTTCTCT